TGCTCATTAAAGTAGGGGCTGTTACTCACTCATGGCATTTAATCTACTCTTTGCTCTATTCTCCATTGAAACTAAAAGGCTTATCTGTTATGATGCCCCAGCTATGTTCATCAACAGCATGCATTGAGCTAAAAATCAGTCAGAGACAGGCAGCGAGTGGGGGAATAGAATTCACCAGCAGCAGCAGGAGACCCCCATCTCTTTCTATGTCACAAGTCTTAAGATCAACTCAGAAATCTGTTTTTCTTGCCCAGACAGTTCCACACATGGGCATCACTGAGCTGTCCTTTGTGATCAAAATGAGTTTATGTGGGCTGGGCCTTTGAGTCCTGTCAGCAAATGTTTTGGCCCCCTCAGGGAATAAAAACTAAAGTAATAGAATTGCCCACCTATTTCCCAGAGGAAGAAACTGAGCCTTAGAAACAGGACAGAAAAAAAAAAAAAAGAAAGAAAGAAAAGAAAAGTCTGGAGGACTAGCTCAGCAGTTAAAAGCACTGCTTCTCTTCCAGGGGTCCCAGGTTCAATTCCCCGCATCCACACAGGGCCTCACAATAGCCCGCAGCTTTGTGGCACCTAGCACACAAGTGGCACAGATGTACATGCAAACAAAACACCCAAAAGAAGCTTACAAAGGTGTCTGTCCTGCATCTGTGTTTCTTAAAAGTCATACCATGACTCACCATTTTGACAGCTGACACCAGACATCCATTAGATCAGCCTGACTGATTAGAAATAGTCACCTCCGTTTTCTAATGACAGTAACGATGGCAAGTGAGCAGAGTCCTGAGTAGATCCATTTTATTGACAAAGGAACACATCATAAACTATTAGACGTCTGCTATAGTCGGTAGCCAGACAGACAGAGGAATGCTCAGGGTGGTGCTAATTAAAGCTGAAGTCCCTATGGAAGAGCCACAAGAGACTTTTTTAAAAAACAAACAAAAAACCAAACAAACAAAAAAAAAACAGAGTTTATTTATGTGTGTTTATGTCATGTATGTGTGCCCACAGAAGCCAGAAAGAAAGCACCAGATCCCCTGAAGCTGGAAGTTACAGGTAGTTGTGAACCCCCTGATGTGGGTACAGGAAATGGACCTCTGGTCTTCCGGAAGAGCAACAGGCTCTCTTAACCACGGAACCATCTCTTCAGCATTTGCTGTAAGAGACTAATGCGGTGAATCTCCTTCCTCATATTCCCCCCACCTAAAAATAATGACAAGGAGCTGCTAATAGTAGCTTTTAAATAGAGACTGGAGTAAAATTGATTCCGTGGGTGGTCATTCTCATTTAAAATGCTTGGATGACAAGGTCTAAAAATATATAGGAAAAAAAAACAAGTAATCAAACAAAAAGCTATCATAGTCCAAACAGAGACAGAAGCGTATTCAACATTCTCAGAGAGAGAACGGGACTCACGCTGTGAACAGAAAAACAAAACAAAACAGGGAAAAAAAAAAAAACAAAAAAACAACAACTCAGACCTCTTTGGATTCTATTTCTTTTTTTATCTTCAGTAATGAGGGATGAACCGAGGGCTTTGTGCATGCTAGAAAAACCTCCATTGAGCTCCATCCATACCCATTTTCTTTTTATTTTGAAACGGAATCTCACCAATTTATCCAAACAAGCCTTGAACCTGCAATCTTCCTGTCTCCATCTGTCAAGGAGCTGGGGATAGAGGCTTGCACTTTGCTCAGCTATCTTTGGAGGTTTAAGAAACTAAATAAAAAATGTAGCCAGCTAATGTTTATTGTCTATGGATTGCCTGTGATGGAGGAATAATGTTACTCATTCATTTTTCACAGCCTTTGCTCCTACAGTGCTGAGCAATTGGACGAAGAAAGCTCTTGGTTGTGGTTCCCAATGCTCACAGATTTCCCTCACAGATGCTGGGATCTCTGTTCCCTCACCACCCCTGGACCAAGATCATTTACTCAGTTGGCCCAGGATGCTGCCTCTTAAAAATCTTACTCTCCAGGAATTCCACCATTCTCTCTGATTTCCTGTAACAGAACAGAGGCCTGGCACATCTTTATTTAGCCCTCTTCTCGATATCTAAGGGTTGAGCATTTCCTGCATTGCAGGCCCTATGAAGGCAGAGCAGTGCAGGCACTTCCGTTTTCTGACTCCCCGGAGTGCCTTCACAGAGGTTGGAAAAGACTTAAAATGTCTGTTGGCATGGTGGTACTAAGTAAGTAGCCTGAATATTTTTCTCCCATCTTATCTATTCAGACACAGACACAATAATCAATGGCAACATGGTGGAGAAAAGTCAGGAGATGTTTATTATAAAAAGTATAGAAAACAGTTAAAACACTATAAACATCCACCAGTAAAGCATACTAGCTCTTTGTTCTGTGTTTTGTTGCCAATAGTGGGGTCTGAACGCAGGACCAACAATGTTCCATGTTAGGCAAGTGTTGATCACTGAACTATATATTTTCTAGCACCTTTCTTGCTTTTTATGTCAAGCTAGAGTCTTACCAATTTCCTCAGGCTGGCCTTGAATTCACTTGGTAACCCCTCTGTCCCCCAAAAGTCCTGAACTTGAAATCCTCCTGCCTCATCCTCTGGAATAGCTGGCTTCCAGCTCTGCCTCGGCTGTTATTATTATTAAGAATAACAGCAAAAATCTGTGAGCATTTACATGTACTAAGCACTTCCCAAACATCCCTCATTGAGCCTCACCTCTGTGGCCACTTTTCTACTAACCCCCGTTTACATGCAAGAAACGTAAGGCTAGAGGAAGTGAGGGAATTCCTCTATGGGACTGGAGAGATGACTCAGTGGTTAAGAGCACTTGCTGTGTTTTCAGAGGACCCAGGTTCAAGTCTCAGTTCCCACCTAGCAGCATAGAACCACTGGTAACTACAGTTCTAAGAGATCTGACACTCTCTTTGCACATCAGCAGGCACAAGGCATGCACACCATGCACATTCACAGTGCAGGCAAAATAGTAATTTTAATAAAAAAGTAAATTTGTAAAAGGAAAGAAATTTCTCCAAAGTCACTGATCAGATTCAAGTACCAATATATACTGGATTGCCTGGTCCAGCCTTGATATGAGGGTTTGTGCCTGCTTTTATTATATACCATGTGTGGTATATATACTATTTTATACTGTAGTTACCAATTTATATAGTACATATTACCAATAGTATATATTTTATACTATCCTAAACACCAGTGGCAGCAGGAAGTTCATAAAGCCACCATAACTTCCTCAACTGCCTCTCTAATCAACAAAGGCAATTAAATTTGACTTAGCACTTTGAGTTTGGTTTAAAATTACCACTTACAAATTTAGAAATAGTATTATCTTAGACACTGTCTGTCACCTTAGCAGCCTGCCTTCCACCACAGGAGTCAGAGGGGTTGACCCCACAAGAGCATGGCTCACAAAAATCAACTAAGCAAGAACTCCCAGGGCTCACAGAAACTGACGCAGCAAGCATGGGGCCTCCATGGGCTGCACGAGGTGTATATGTCATGGTTGTGCAGCTTGGTGTTCTGGTAGGACTCCTAACAGTGGGAGTTGGGGGGAGGGCATCTCCGAGTCTTTGGCCTGCTCTTGGGACCCTTTTCCTCCTACTGGGTTGCCTGGCCCGGGCTTGATGTGAGGGTTTATGCCTAGTTTTATTGTATCTTGTTAGGCCACGTTTGGTTGATATCCCTAGAAGGCCTGCTCTTTTCTGAAGGAAAATGGAGGAGGAGGGGATGTGGGGAGGAGAGGAGGGGGTGAGGCCTGGGAGGAGGGCAGGGAGGGGAAACTGCAGTTGGTATGTAATACATGAGAGAATAATGTAATTTTTTTAAAAGTCTGCCTCTCACACTACAAACGAGCCAATATATAGCCGTTACCTATCTATCCATCTACTGTCATTCACAGATTAAACCAACCACATGTGTAAAATAGTATTTTCTGTGTTTTATTTTTTGCATCTATTTGCATCTCAATCAAATGGTATTGGGTATTATAACTGGGAAGTGCCCTTATGTACAGGGTGCCTGTGTAAATAAAGTGTATAGTGTTTTAAAGGAGAGCTGAAGCACCCAGGAAGGGTCCTGATGGAGATGAGGAGCATTGTACCTTATTCTCGTGTGTTTGATACAAAAGGTTTAGTGGAGTGATCATGCCGTGCCTTCAGTCCCAGCATTTGGGTAGGATGAAAATGTCTCCTTCTCTGTTAAGGTCTGTGCTTAAGCTGAGAGATGACTTGGTTAAGGTCCTGTGGGGCTCCTGTGCGTCCCTTGAATTCAGTTTCCAGAACCCAAGCCACCTAAAACGTCAGCTCCAGGTTATCCGATGACCTTTTCTGGACTTTAAGGGACTCCCATTCACACCTGTCTATACTCACATCTTTTTTTAATCCTACGCTTTCTTAAGTAAATGTTACTGGTTTCATGTTGGGATAAAACTAAGAAACCTTCCTGGTGGGGAACCCGTCGTCTGCCCGGAAACACAGGCCATCTGTGGTTTGCTTCCACGCTGTCAGGAGCACACTCAGCAGGAAGGGAAGCCACCCAGTTCGGGTCCGATCATCTGTCTGTTAGGATGGCACAGCAGTTCAGTGATTTCGGCGCAAGACAGCTGAAATGGTGAGCAAAGAAAAAGGTGAAATGACAATCGGCCGTTCATTTCAGTCTAGCCGTCTCTTCCGTTTTCCCAGTCTGGCTTCACACAAAGTGACTCATGAAAATGGCCTGCGACTGTGGGGAGCCTAGCAAGGCTGGGTTTCCAGTAACGCTGAGTCCACCTTCCATTCCATTCCACTTAGACGGACATCGGAACAGCTGCCTTTTTCTCCCTCCAAGGCAGAGAGCAGCACACACGCAAAAGAGATGGTTTGCATCTAAACTGTCAGGGAGAGAATCGACGCCGCCTTTAGGTAGGGGACTTCCGCTGGGTACTTTCTGTCCGCATTCTGTTCTACTTCTGGTCCCCTGCTCAGCGGAAGGCCCTTGTTTTCTGTCACTAACCACTTCCAGCCAATCACCGACAGACAAACACGCCCGCCCGCAGCCAATTTCCTGGGCCCTGCGGGGCTCTAACCGTAGAGCCAATCCGAAGGAGCCGCTGTCATCTTTCACCCAGCTGGTTGGCGCCGCCGCCGCCGCCAGATTCCGAGAGCGAGGCTCGTTAAGCCAGGAACATGGACGTGAACCTCGCCCCGCTCCGTGCCTGGGATGATTTCTTCCCGGGCTCCGATCGCTTCGCCCGGCCGGACTTCAGGGACATTTCCAAATGGAACAACCGTGTAGTGAGCAATCTGCTCTATTACCAGACCAACTACCTGGTGGTAGCTGCCATGATGATTTCGGTCGTGGGGTAAGTGGGGTCTCGCGTCCCGAGCACCTGTCCGGGGCCAGGACGTAGGGACCCCGGGGACAAAATCACGAGATGCAAGACTAGGTCCACGCAGGGCGCCTGCCCTGCAGCCTCGTGAGGCGGCCAACCCGGTGGAAACGCGCTCAGGGCGAGGCCGCAGCTCTCTGGGGTCCCCTTTCTTTCTCTCCCTGCTCCGGAGGCTGAGACTTGACAAGGGACCCTGGGAGGAGGAAGATGAGGGGAGTGCTGAGAACTTGGGGGAATAGAAACTACCCCCTACCCCCGCCCCCCGTGCTGGGGTCAGCCGCCCGTCAGAGGTAGCACCGAGGGTGTTTTAAAAAACAAAAACGTGGTGTTGTAACCCTTGTCATGGGGCTGCCTACGGAAGCCTGGAGTGACAGGGTGTGGACCCAGGGCGGTGTTCAAGGGGTCCCTCAGCCTGAGGTCTGCGGAGCTGAGTCTCCCGGTGGCGCATCTTGCATCCCCTGACCGCCCTCTTCCCCGCCCGCCCCAAGTTGCCAGACGCGGTCACTTCAGCTTTTCTCCTGAGACTTGGGGGTCTTATCTGGATCCGAAGGCCTTTTCAGAGTTTGCTGAAAAGTGGTTAAGAAGTGCCCTGCGTTAATTAAGGTTACGCGTGGGCATTTGGGCACATGTGGGCACACAGTTCTGCATCTGTCTCCCCAGAAGCCGCGTTCCCCTGTACTTTACCCTTTAAAAATGCTTCTCCCACCTTTGACAAAGTAAGTGGTTTTGTTCACCATCTTGTTCGCTATCTCTCACGCGGATTTTTTTTTTCTTTTTTTTAAAGGCTTTACCCTCTTGCCCTAAATTAAGAAGTCCTTGTGGAAGGCTTCTCTTTCAGAAGAAACCCGAAGAGAAAGCAGCTAGGAAGGCATAGGAGGTCATGGGAAGGGGTGAGCGATAAGGTGGTGTCTCAGGTTGGCCTGAGGTTAGCCGGCGTATTTATTTAGCTACCTCTGGGCACCAGACCCAAGCTCCTGGCACACCAAGATGAATCAGACTTGAATCCTGGCCCAGGGACACATGGCATTTGCTGAGCCTCAAAAGGAGCAAACTCACAGCACAGAGGAGACTGGCAGGGTTCCCCATTTCCGGGCGTGGTTCGGAGTGGGCGCCAGTTCCCAAATGCAGGCTCCGTGTGGGATCCTTGCTGTGTGTGGCTCAAGGGACTGCCAGCTCCGGGGACAGCCTAGAGTGCAGGAACACAGGCCCTGGTGGACTCTAACTAAACTGGCAGCTGGGGAGCCCTTAGTCAGGGTAAGAAGGTTTGGGGCAGTTGTCCGTAATTGTCCGTAAACCTGCCCAAAGCTGTGCTTCTTCCTAGAAAAAAACAAAACAAAACAAAACAAAACAAAACAAAACTGCACGAAGAAGAATCTTTAAAATAAAGCAGAGGGCGGTGGCACACGCCTGTGATCTCAGCACTCTGGGAGGCAGAGGCAGGCGGGTCTCTGTGAGTTCAAGGCCAGCCTGGTCTACAAAGTGAATCCAGGAAAGCCAAGGCTACACAGAGAAACCCTGTCTTAAAGATGGATGGACGGATGGATGGATGGATGGACGGATGGATGGACAAAATAGCTGGGCAGTGGTGGTGTTAACCTTTTATTTCAGCCCTTGGAAGGCAGAGGCAGGAGAATCTCTGTGAGTTTGAGGCCAGCCTGATATGCAGAGCAAGTTCTAGGACAGCCAGGGCTGCACAGAAAAACCCTGTCTTCCCACCACCACCCAGAAAAAAATCTAATAATGGGTTTATATCTGTTGTTTTACTTTCATTTTCTTTTCTTCCTCTTTTGGTTTTGTAGTTATGGGGGCTGTATCTTATCTTAAATAGGAAGGTTTCACATAGACCAACCAAATATACAAGTAAAAATTGAAATCCCCCTCCCCTCATGTCCAAAGCAATTGTGCCCAGATTCCAGCACAAGCCTTGGCCACCTTGTGGCCTTCACAGAATACATTTTTCATAGTGAGCTCTTTAACTAAACATAGCTCTCTCATTATGGCCTTAGGCCACTAAACCAGGCAATCTGGAGTCTTAACCCTTCTCATCCCCATTTCACATAAAAGTATCAAAAGTTATTGGTGTCTTCGAAGGATGAAGAGAAAAGTACCTATTATTGTCATTGTTGTTACAGATTTCTAAAAAGCCATGCAAGGCATGGTGACTCATGCTTATAAGCCCAGCACTCAAGAGACTGAGGCAGGAGGATTGCATGAGTTCCGGACTAGCCAGGGTTACAGTGTGAGACTCAAACAGCTGTTTCAAAAACATACGTGTGTGTGAAATATGAATTTATTTTTATACCCCAGGATAAATTTGGGCATGTAACTTTTTTTCTCTGTATCTCTAAACACTTTCTAGCTTTCCCTACAAATTCTTCTTTTCTTTCTTTATAAATAATAATAATAAATCATTTATTTGGGGCTTTCTATGCTAAGTTCTGTGTGCTAAGTATAGTCTTGCATTGTGTCATACAGCTCCATAACTAGACTATTATTATTTTCACTATTAAACCTGATGCTCAGAGAAGTTGAATGACATTCTTACAACCACAGACCTGGGCTCGCCCCCTTAACTACTGTGGCATCTTCCAGGGAATCAGGAGGTTTAGAATGATAGCGCCTGAAAGGTGGAAGAAATCCAATACTTTTGGGATGAGGGAGCATGGCTGATTCTGGAACATTCCTCATTCTAAAAGAACTGTTCTCTTTTTGATGCTGCAGCAGACGGGTGAGTCTGGGCACTGCTAGGAGATAGTTATCTGGATCTTCCGCTAATGGTGATAGTTTCTCATGATGAAATGTGCAAATAAGTCATGTTACCCATGGTAAAGAATGTTCAGTGATTCCATCTCTGTGGCCATGAGGTCCCTGAGGGACATTCAGTGGCTCTTGATGTCCTCTAGTGTTTCAGATTGGTTTGGCTGAAGGTAGGCAGTGCTGATTTTTCCAGATCTCCGTCTGCATGAGAGAGGGTAGACTCCAGGAGATGTGATGTAGCTCTAGAAGCACTAGGAAGCACTAGGCCGAAATGGAAATTGAGAGTGGTTAAGGATAGAGACAGACATCCATATTGGGTCCTGACCAAGAAGGGCTTGGGGGTCAGAAGTTAGATTGCCAATCAAGGCATGGCAGTGCGTCTTTGTTATCCCAGCAATAGGGAAGATGGGGCAGGAGGCGAGTCTGGGTTACATAGTGAGTTTCATGCTGTAACAAGACTTCATCTCAAAAAGAAGAGGAAGTTTGGTCTTCATCCTAAAACCATGGTTTTACTGAGCACATGGCTTCCATGTAGTAGGTACAACGTATGTCTCAGATTCAGTGAGCTCATAGTTCCTGCTGTTCCTCTCCTCCTCCTTTCTCCTCTCCCTTCATGTCTTCTTCTTCCTTCCTCCACTTCCTCTTTTTCCTCTCTCTTTTCCCTGCCCTCCAACTCTCAAGCTCTTTACTTCTCTCTTCTCCCACCATCTTTGTTTTCTGTTCTTGTTTTGTTGCTTTTGACATGGTCTCACTGTGTTCCTTTTGGCTGGCTTGGAACTCAAGTTCCTCAAGCTCCAGTCTCCTAAGTGCTACCATTATAGCTGTACATCGCTCTGCCTTGTAGCCCTTCTTAGAGACAGTTTTTATTTCCATCCATCTCTCTGAGTAGTATAATTGCTATGAGCCAGATTAAGTGTGTTAGAATCCCAACTGCCAGTCACTAACTGTATGACCACATTGCCTCATCTTTACCATCTGTACAGTGACACTAATAACAGCACCCACCTCACAGACCTGCTTGAAGACTAACCAGCATCCCATAGGTGATGCCTTTAGAACAGTGCCGGCCTCCTCAGTGCATTAAATATTACTTCTTTCTTACCGCTGTTAGTGTCACCAGCTTCAGAGCTCAGAAACACAGCATCTTTAGTGACTTCGGCTACCAAAGTCCAGCCTGGATCTGTTTTCCCAGTTCTGCAAGACTCAGCTTCGGTATCACTACATGGGATAAACACTATTCCAATATCTCTTATTGCCAGTGTTAACTGGACCCCACATCTGTATTTGTGGCTTTCCTGTTACCCAAAGGTCTTTTATGCATACATATGCACAAGAAAAGAAAGATGTCTAAGATCGGAGACCAGAAACTACCTTCCCATGCATGACAGGAGACAGCAATGCATTAATCTAGTATGTTTACATCACGCCCATCAACAGAAGTTGTCTTAGTCAGTGTTCTATTGCTGTGAAGAGACACCAGGACCAAGGTAACTCTTAGAAGAGAAGCACTGGACTGGGGCTTGCTTGTGGTTTCAGAGGTTCGTCCCATTATCATCATGGTGGCACACATGGCGCTGGAGCAGTAGCTAAGAGCTACATCCTGATCCACAGGCCAATGGGGTGAGGGGGTCGGGGACAGAGAGACAGAGACTGGGCCTGGCATGGGCTTTTGACACCTAAAAGCCCACTTCTTCGACACTTCCTCCAACAAAGTCACACCTCCTAATCCTTCTAATCTTGTCAAAGATTTCCACTCCCTGGTAACTGAACATTCAGATATATAAGCCCATGGGGGCCCCTCTCACTCACACCACAGAAGTCTATTGCCATTTTTTTTTTTCAAAGTAAAAAACACAGGCAACATTTAGTTATACTTGAAACCTTAGTACTAAGCCTGTGGTGCACAAGAGCTGTGGGGGAAGATTTCTCTGTGCTTGATGGAATGCCTACAGATATGAACTGGAAAACAAAACAAAACAAAAATACTCCTACTAAAGACTGAGCCAAAGAACAAAAGCCTTGCACCTGAGAGTTCATCAGAAATGAAGACTCTCTGGTCTATTTCAGACCTCTTGGCTCTATATTTTAATAAGGGTCTCAGAGGATTCATTCTCACGTTAAACTGTGGTCTATTCTGACTCAAAAGAAAGACCAACAGAACTTAAAATAATATACCATACGCCAATGCCACTTTTAGAGATTCTAATTGTTTTGTT